TTTATTCATTGCAAATCGATCACAATTTATTAAATTATTGGTCACGACTTATTTTTTGGTCACAAATCAAGAATTTTATATGCCACGTGTTATTTCTCTGTCACGAATCGTATATTTTATGAGCCACAAATTATTTATCGATCACAAAATCAAAATTTTTATTGGTCACAACTCAATTACAACTTAATAAACTGTCAGTCACAGTCACAATTTTTAGGTCGCATAGGGGTTCGGCTAGAGTTACCTTATGGGCAGAATCACATGGAGTGAGGGCCTAGGTTTAGCTGCCACATGGCCGTGCGGGGAGCCTCGTTGGCAGAGGCATAACATCGACTTTCTTATTCCTTACAATACTTGCACGAAGTTACAATGTATGACTAGTCCACAACATTCAAAGCTGGTATTATATACTTGAAGAATACCCAAACAAACTTGGTGATAGGCTCTTGTGACCATCAATGGTGAAGGTGTCAGCCGATCCTGGACCTACGAAACCCGAATGAACAAGAGGTAATTAAAGAAAGAAAGCAGTGGTCTGGAGCGTAGCACTGAAGACTGATCAATTGCACTAAAGAATAGTCGCCCTTTTCATTCAAAAATTTTTTTTTTTACTGGGAGCTGTTGATTTTGTAGAACTAGATGTAACATGCCATGAGATATTGTTATATATGAAAATTTCGAGGATTTTGGATGCAGACTGGGCCAGGGTCCACTAGTGATCGAAGATCCACCTATAGATGAGTTGTTTAAGTATTTGGTTATACTTAGTTTGAATCTTTTTATCGACAAAGGATCATATAAATAAGTAATTAATTTTATTTCCTTTCAGTGCGACTAATAATTTTTAACTCTAGCATAAATTTTGGGACAATGCCACTCAGGGGTGGAGCCAAACTGTTTGTATTGTAGGGTCAAAAATTAAAATGCATTTTTTTTAACCAGCACAACATTAACGAAAATAAATCAATATACTGTTACAATTATAGCCTACACGTATAATTATATCTAAACTCAACAGATGTCATATTTCCAAATCTGAGAATAAAGTGTCACAAGAGCATTGCATCCAAAAAGTTCAGATGAAAATTCCCACTTGATTATTAGACATTGCAATTGTTCTCCAAGCACAAACAGCTCTATTGGTGCAGGCACCAGAAGAGACGTATGGAGTAGGGAATACGCCTGATATATATTTCTCTCTGGATAAGTTTAGCATGAATTTGCCGCATAAAGTGAAAATCATGTCTACCACCACAGCACTCCTGCAAGACACTAGCAACGGCGCTCTCATCTGACGTAACTTTTGTTAAACGTTAAACATTCAAATCCAGAAATTAATTCTATGATTTACGATATCATTGTTGAAGAAGCATCATTGTTTGGAGTAGTTGAACAAGGGTGAACAAATATAAACGACAAAGAATTTTTAAAATAAAGAAAAAAGCACAACAAAAAATTTTGAGCCCCATAAAGAGCTGGGCCTGAGGCGACAACCTCTTTGGCCTCTCTCCTCAGGTCCTACTATGTGTCCACCCCTGATGCCACTTCTACATCATATTTGTACATCATGCTTGACATCATCATTGTTGACAAGATTTGATTGATAAATTTATTTTTTTAAAACCTGTCAATAGTGTGTTGTCATGTGACATAATGTAATTGTAAATTTTGACACACGAGTTTACA